TATTTTTGTCTTGCGCGGGTCCAATTTCCCGTGTGTGACAAACCAATGGATCCGTTCACTCTCCGGGAATCTGAATGTATAGTAGTAATACTTGTATTTAACATCCCGGACCCAGGGGAAATGGGATCCGCGGTGCACCGCACGTGAAGCCTCATGCTACGCATGGAACCGTGGATCTGCTGACCAAAGCTTTGACTCTACGGGGGAAGGGGGGTCTTCCTAGGACGAATGGGGGGACGGAGGACGGAGGAGGCACGAAGCCGAAGAGAACGCTACATGTATCCGCTCACTTGAACGGCGCGTCGCTTCCGACATTCGGGGCTCAATCGGGACATCTTTCAGCCTGCGTCAGAGGGATTTCGGGCACTGCACGTCAAGCATCATGGTATCCACGGAACTGTGGATTTGCCGACCAAAACTATGACTCTACGGGGGAAGGGGGGTCTTCCTAGGACGAAGAGGGGAAGGAGGAGGGAGGAGGCACGAAGCCCGAGAGAGCGCTACATGTATCTGCTCACCGTCCGACATTTCGGGCTCAATCGGAAAATCTTTCGGGCTGCGTAACTAGAGGAGGAAGAGGAGGAGAAGGAGGGGGGATTATGTTGCTGTTGATGCTGATGATGATGCTGATGCTGATGCTGATGCTGATGATGATGCTGCTGATGCTGATGCTGTTGTTGATCATGCTGATGCTGATGATGATGATGATGATGATGATGATGATGATGATGATGCTACTAATGCTGATGATACTGCGGATGATGATATTCATGCTGGTTATGATGATTATGGTGCTGATGATGCTGGTGATGATATTGATGCTGATTATGATGATTATGGTGCTGATGATGCTGATGCTGATGCTGCTGATGATGATGCTGATGCTGCTATTGCTGCTGATGATTGTGATTATGATGTTGATGTAGGTGATGATGCTGCTGATGATGATGCTGATTCTGATGTTGCTGCTGCTGATAATGCTAGTCCTGATGTTGCTGCTGCTGCTGATGATGATGATGCTGATGATGATGATGATGGTGATGATGCTGATGCTGATGCTGATGATGATGATGATGATGATGATGATGATGATGATGATGATGATGATGAGGATGGTGATGTTGGTGCTGATGCTAATGCTGATGCTGATGATTAAGATGATGATGGTGATGAGGAGGAGGAGGAGGAGGAGGAGGAGGAGGAGGAGGAGGAGTAAGAGGAGGAGGAGGAGGAGGAGGAGGAGGAGGAGGAGGAGGAGGAGGAGGAGGAGGAGGAGGAGGAGTCCACATCCGCCGCTCCCAGAACATCTGGGGCAGGGCTTCTGCCCGGCAGCCGCGGACGAACATCTTTCTCGGCGATGCTCCCTCTCCCCAGACTTCGCGGGCCGAGGGAAGCTTCTTCAGCCGGGGTAGGGGGAGAGGAAGGCTTCCTAGAATCAGGAGGGAAAGAAACACACAGACACAATTAATCGTTGATTCCCCAGAAAATATGGAAAAATATGGGAAGTGGGGGGGAAGACAGAAACCCAGAAAATATGGGAAAATATGGGGGATATTTTTATTTGTGTGTATTTACCTAACAGCGTAGACTGATAGGTTTCTAGTTGATTCAAAAGAGCTCACAGATCACTCCACAGGGGGGTCCGGGCAGGCGTTGGGAGTTGCCGGCCGGGCCTGTGCCGGGCTCGTTTTTCACCAACAGTCACACTTCGTGCTCGTCGACCTCTCAGAACCCCATTCCCAGGCCACATTCTGAATAACCGGATGCAACAGTCACACACTTCGTGCTCTTCGACCTCCCAGAACTCCATTCCCGGGCCACATTCGGAATGCCCGGAGCCAACTGTAGGCCACTTCGTGCTTTTCGATTTCCCAGAACTCCATTCCCGGGCCACATTTTGATGCCCGGAGCCAACTGTAGGCCACTTCGTGCTCTTCTACTTCCCAGAACTCCATTCCCGGGCCACATTTTGGATGCCCGGAGCCAACTGTAGGCCACTTCGTGCTCTTCGAGTTCCCAGAACTCCATTCCCGGGCCACATTTTGAATGCCCCGAGCCAACTGTAGGCCACTTCGTGCTCTTCGAGTTCCCAGAACTCCATTCCTGGGCATGATTTTGAATGCCCGGAGCCAACTGTAGGCCACTTCGTGTTCTTCTAGTTCCCAGAACTCCATTCCTGGGCCACATTTTGAATGCTGAGGCAGGCTGATGCTGCGGCCGAGGCAGGCTGAGGCTGAGGCAGGCTGAGGCTGAGGCCGAGGCTGAAGGCAGACTGAGGCTGAGGCTGAAGCAGACTGAGGCTGAGGCTGAGGCAGGCTGAGGCTGAGGCTGAAGCAGGCTGATGCTGAGGCAGGCTGAGGCTGAGGCTGAGGCTGATGCAGGCTGAGGCTGAGGCAGGCTGAGGCTGAGGCCGAGGCTGAAGGCAGACTGAGGCTGAGGCTGAAGCAGGCTGAGGCTGAGGCTGAGGCAGGCTGAGGCTGAGGCAGGCTGAGGCTGAGGCTGAGGCAGGCTGAGGCTGAGGCTGTGACTGCGACTGCCGTTGCCGCTGCGACTGTCATCGCGAATGCGACTACGACTGCGAGAACAGCAGAATTCTACAACTGGATTTTCATTTGAATCTTAAGGGGAATGCTTTCAGATATGCTTCTACACATCGCTGTTAGGTTGCTTTGCCGGGATAATTAATTATTTGTGTGTCCTGGGGCCCCTTCATTCCTAGAAGCACCCCTGCATCTGTCGACTAGACGTAAAAGTAACCTTTCGCCGGAGTGACCTTTGGTGCGGGCACAGATTCACCACCCACCAGACCACCCCAACCCAACCCGAAGGCCTCAATTGGCCTCCATTTCCAGTGGGGGGGGGGTCGGGGAACATTGAGAAAACACACATGGAACCCGTACCCCCCTCAACCCGAAATTCGGGTCTTCGGGTTGGGTTGGGGTGGTCTGGTAGGTAGTCACGGATGGGTCCCCAGATGGCAGAAAACGAAGCAGGAGCAGCGGCTTGCGCGCCCAGGTTTGGTCCCCCGGCGGCCCCCAAAAAGCCGCGCACCAAAGGTCACTCTTACCCAGGGTCACTCCTGCGTGTAGCCGAATCTTAGAAGGCGCAGGCCCTGTGTCTGTAGGTGTAGGGCCGGCGCCTTCTGCGAAGCAGCCTTCCCACATCCCCCTGCCCCTTTGGGCGCGCCGCCAAAACCTGCGGTTCGTTCAAGGTTGATCGCCGCTTTCGATCTGGAATCGGTCGATGTTGACCGATAGGAAGTTCTTTACGCTTCGCGTATCCCCACCAGCCCATCTCACAGCAGCAACTCTCGCGAAGCATGCCGATAGTCGTGTTTTTCAGGCGTGTGTCCGCTTGGCCCCGCATATCTCCCCTGTTCCTCCTTCCTCCCGCCTCCTTGTACATCCTCCTTGTGAGGGGAGCGGGAGAAGGACGAGGCGGAGGAGGAGGGAGAGAAAGCGCTCCTCGTGATTTGAGTCGTTTGGGGTTTCTCGTCCTGGTGTGAGTCGTTCGGGCCCTTCTTCCTGGTGTGAGTCGTTCGGGCTCTTCGTGGTGTGAGTCGTTCGGGCTCTTCGTCCTGGTGTGAGTCGTTCGGGCTTCTCGTGGTGTGAGTTGTTCGGGCCCCTCATCCTGGTGTGAGTCGTTCGGGCCCCTCCTCCTGGTGTGACTCGTTCGGGCTCCTCGTGGTGTGAGTCGTTCGGGGCCCGCGTCGTGGTGTGAGTCCTTCGGGCTCCTCGTGGTGTGAGTCGTTCGGGCGCCTCGTCCTGGTGTGAGTCGTTCGGGCCCCTCCTTGTGGTGTGAGTCGTTCGGGCTCTTCGTGGTGTGAGTCGTTCGGGCCCCTCGTCCTGGTGTGAGTCGTTCGGGCTCCTCGTGGGGCCTCTTGGGGGCCTCTTGGAGCCTCTTGGGGGCCTCTTGGGGGCCTCTTGGGGGCCTCTTTGGGGCCTCTTGGGGCCTCTTGGGGGCCTCTTGGGGGCCTCTTGGGGGCCTCTTGGGGCCGCTTGGGGGCCTCTGGGGGGCCTCTTGGAGGCCTCTTGGGAGCCTCCTGGGGGCCTCTTGGGGCCATCTTGGGGCCTCTTGCGACCTCCTCAGAAACGCAAAGGAGAGCTGCCCCCTGAGAAGGACAAAATGAGCCCAAAACCTTTGTAAAATCAATGATTTTGCTATGAGGGAAGATGAGCGCGGCCCCCTCAGAAGGCCAAAATGGTGCCAAAACCCTCGTAAAATGAATGATTTCTGCTTCAAAGACGAGCAGAGGGGCCAAACTCCCCCCCCCCCTCGGGGCCAGAATCCTCGTGAGGGTTGTTTTTTGGCCCTCCGAGGAGTCGAAAAAGACCCTTCCGACTACGCTCGGGAATCCCTGTCCAGGTCCAGGGGGAGGGGGTAGGGGGAGGGGTAAACCCTTCCCCGAAGGGGAAGATAGGGGGTTGAGAACAGAGAGAGCTCCCTAAACCACTCACGCCCAAAGGGCTGGTGGGATTTCGGAAACGGCAGATCGTTCAAGTTTGGAGGATTTCCGCTGTGTCAGGAACCACCGCCGAAGTCGGCACGACACGAACCCGGTCCACACCTCTTGCTCCTCCCTCTCCGCCTGCCAGGGGCCGCCTATGATCCGATTCGATGCGATTCCATTTGTCGGCTGGGGCCGCGATCCCGATTTGATTCGATCTAGGCCGATTCACCGGCGTTGGCCGACGACGACGACGCCGACGCCGACGCCGACGACGACGCCGCCACCGCCGCCGCCGACGACGACGACGACGGCGACGACGACGACGACGACCACGACGACCACGACGGCCACGACGACCACGACGACCACGACGACCGCGACCGCGACCACGACGACGACCACGACCACGACAGCCAGATCCAGTCGTGGCGATCCGATCTCGATTGGATTCGGGACGATTCGCTGGCGGTTCGATCCGTTTTCGATCCGATCCCATTTCGCGATTCGGTCTAAGTCAGGCCTGCCTCCTCCTCCCCGTTGGGCTGCCGAGGACCAGAGCCACTGGATCAAGCGCGGGGTTGCCATGCTGACCAGCCTCGACGCCTGAGCCCAGCCGCGCGGCAGTCTTTCGGCCTCCGTGGCGGCGGCGGCGTGGGGTGGGCACGATCTCTTCTGGTTGAGGAGTGGTTGAGGAGAAGGAGAGGGAGGAGAAGGAGAAGGGAGCGCTATTTAAGTCAGGTTCAGGATCGGGATAACTCGCTCCACAGTGTTTCGGAACGCTCTCAGAGCGTTCCGGAACTCTCTGGGACCGCCGCGTCGCCAAATACATCCTCCAGAGCCTCTAGATATCAGAGATCCCCGATTTATCCCGATCTGATTTTGTCCCGTTCCTGGCTTCGCTTTGAGAAGGGAGGCTCCTGGGCGCTCTTCGGGCCGTCTTTGAGCCTACTTGGGCCACTCTTGGGGCTTTCTTGGCAATCTCGGGGCCACATTGAGGCCTCGCACGCCCATCGGGAGCGAAACGGCGAGAAGGCAAAGATCACAGTGTTTCCTAAGATTTTCGGGTCCAGTTTTTGATTTTTGGGAGGTTGCTTGGGGGGGGAGGTCCCCCAGACCCACTGGGAGCCGTCCCAGGGCCCCTCGGAGGTATGTCGGAGTCTAGCTTCAACAGGTTACAAAAACTCACAGGTTGTGAGAGCGTACCCGTCGGTCGGAAGGACATTTTTTGAGCCCTCAGATGCCAATCAACCTACTGGAGGCGGCTTCCTGTTTTCAAGAGTCGAACGGTTTTCCTCTTCCCTCCTCTTCAGGGCGCCAGCGGACACCTAATCTACTGTCAACGCCTTTCTATTTCATGTTTAAAAACTCTTCTTCTGACCCATGGGTACTCCGGTAGGTGGACAAAACATGTCCACGCCCATCGCGCCAAGACAACGCTACGGCGAATGGCATCCCAACAACCTATAGCCCCCTTCCCTAAACCCTATAGTGACAGCGGTGCACGCGAGGCAACGCGCGAAGGACAACATGTGGACACTTCAACTTTGGGCTTCTTGCGGGCACCAACATGGAGGCGTGCGTCCATGCAGTCCAACGCGTGTTTGCGCGTGCGCGTGCGTTCACCAATGCACGCAGTCATTCGCCTTTGCGCGCGCGTGTGGAACCGCCGGGTACCCGCGGGCCAATCCATGGGGACAACCCGTAGGATACCCACAGAACAGCCCACGGGGCACTCGCGGGGCAGCCGCGGGACAGCCCGCGGGGCAGCCACGGGGCAGCCCACCAGGCCACTGCAGCCCCAGCCCGAGCCCCCGAGCCCGAGCCCGAACCCGCGCGCGCGCGCTTTCGATCGAGGCCCGAGCCCGAGCCTGGCCCCCCCCCCGGAGACCGAGTCCGATCCTCAGCGCGCGCGCGTGCGCGTATGCGCGTGCGCGCGTGCACGCGTCCGATCTGTCAGCATGCGAGCAGCAGACGCGCTACCAACCATGTGCACCTGACTGGCCAGTCAGGCGAACATTTTGCCAGTGGAGTGTTTGATGGACTGTAGGCGGGTCCGTGGCTGAGGCGCGGGTCACTCGCGGTTCTTCCGGTAGTACTTGGTAAGACTTGTAGCATCGTTCGTACATTATCCGTATGAACTGATAGTGTAGATATAGCAATCGACGCATCTCTCAATACGAGTATGTATGTATGTATGTATACGCATATATATATATACACATATTCTTTTCCGTTGTCCAAAACCATCAACGAGTACTATCCCCTAACCTTGTTTTTTCTTTTGATGTACGAGTACCATCGCAAGTTCCACCAAGCCGCGTAAATTTCCACACTGCGCGCCCCGCGCGGGACGAAGTTTACAGTAAAGACAGCGTGCGCCAACTTCCGAACCATCTGCGCAGGTTTTGCTGTCGTCTGTGTGTATGCGCCTGCGCACCTGCGCGCGTTTTTTTTATGTGTTGTTTTTAGTTTTCTGTGCCGCTGCGCGTGAATGTATGCGAGCGGCTGTGTGAGCTGGCCCGGCCGGCCTGCTGCGCGCCCAGTAGCTAATTAGGCCTGTTTCCGCGCCCCGGACAGCTTCTGACTCCGCCTGCGCCTTCGCTCGCGGACGCGACCGAAAAAGTGAATGTATGCGAGTGCTTGCATGGACCGGGGCAAGTGCCGCCGTGCAAAGCCTCACTCTGATGTTGAGCAGAGCCCATGTGTGTGAGGCCCCAGTTGGATGCGCCATAGCGCGGCGCGCTCCGCTGGGCTCCAGGACTCCCATGAGGGCCTCGAAGATTGGGGCGTTCCCGCAACTTGCAGCACCCAGAGTGGCGAATTCACCTTTCCGGGGTTCGTAGAGGGGGGGTCATCCCAAGGTCGGGTCAGGGAACGAATCGAGCTGGGTGCTCACATTTCATGATTCCAGCGGCCTTTCACAGCGATTGTCCTCTAGCCCCAACTCTGCCCCTTTCCCACCTTTTTGCTCCCCTGGCATTTGGATGCCACTAGCGTACCGCTCCGCTGGACTCCCTTGGGCTCAGAAAGTGGCGGCAGGTCCACATCTGGCAGCAGAAAGGAAGGCAGAGTCTCACGTGCATGCGCGTGCACCGCCGGACTCACCAGGGGCCGCGAAGATGCGGCAGCCAGCTCTGCGTCTGGGAGTGCCCACAGATGAGGGTTGGAGAGCGGAAGAAGGATCAGGAGGATGATGGGGAGGGGAGGGGAGGTGGGAAGGAGCAGGACGAGGGTGGGAAGTGGGAGATGTCGATGGGGCGTCCGTTCGCAAGGCATGGGTTCCAGGTTCTGCGATGGAGTTGGTGGCTCTGGCTGCCAGGGGCCTGGGGGGAGCTGTCTTCGATGGGGTCGTCGGTGACCGTTGTGGCCTCCTGCCGTTCCCCTCCTTTTTGTTGTTGGTGTTGGTGTTGGTGTTGTTGTTGTTGTTGTTGTTGTTGTTGTTGTTGTTGTTGTTGTTGTTGTTGTTGTTGAACATTATTTATTCTAGAGAATAATTATTGTTGGGCCCCCTGGTGCGCGCCCCCCCTGCGCCGCCTAGGCCGCAGCTACATTTTCATCATTTTCGTGAGGAAGCCTCAGAAAAGAGGGTGTGTACAGGATCCGGTTGTTTTGTTGTAATCCGCTTTCCCTTGCAAAAAACAATAGAAAATGACATTTCTTGTTCTAATATAATCAAATTTCAAGAATCCCTTGCAAAAAATAAGGTAAAGTGGACATTCGCGCGCGCAAGACGAAATCCTTCCAAAACCTTAGTGTTCGCAGCGATTTTAACATAAAAACATCAAAAAACCAATGGTTTTTCAACAACAAATTGTCAAAATCTCATCCCGCGCGCTCTTGCGGATTCGTAGGAAACCCAACACTTTTTAAACATTTCTGTCAAACGGGCTTTTGCGAGCAACTTTTTCGAACTTCTGCGACAACGGTTGCGCACCTGCCAGGGCCATCATCCCTGTCAAATAATACCATGCGGGACACATTCGTTTTTTCTTCGCGCGCGCACGCCGAAATCTCCAAAAACCATTGGGCTTCTTAAGAATTTTAGCACCGCGCACATCCGTAGCCATCTCGGATCAAGGTATCGCCTGTGTTCTTGGATGGTCCATGGCTTTGACGGCGAAAGCCCTTGACGAGCAGTCATCGGGACAACGATCGGGACAAGCACAACCATCAGGACAACCATCGGGACAATCATCGGGACAACGATCGGGACAACCACAACCATCAGGACAACCATCGGGACAACCATCGAGACAACCATCGGGACAACCATATCCTCTCTCTCTTGTGTATTCCCACATCCCTCAGGAATTTGCCCTAAAGATGTGATCAACTATCTTGTGAGTACGTATCATGTGTATCATGTGTATCATGTACCATATGCATCATATGCAACAGATGTTCTGTGGAAGGCTTAACAACTTCTGTGGGTTAACAAGGCTTAACAACTTCTGTGGGTGTACGAACGTAGGCTTAACAACTTCTGTGGGTGTGTACTCCACGCCAGTGTAGTAGCCACGGTCGTCCGCAGGCCACGAAGTGAAGTGTCCGAACGTCATAGGGCGGGAAGCTGGGTGTGGGTGGTGGCGAAGAGTCGTGTGGATATTTGGTAGAGCTTGCACTGCCCCCCCACAAAGTGGGGGTATTGGCTGGCGTCGCATGAAAACCCTGGCACTGGTGAGAACACTGAGCGTTCGGGTAAAGTGATTGTTGTTGTTGTTGTTGTTGTTGTTGTTGTTGTTGTTGTTGTTGTTGTTGTTATTTTTGTTATTGTTGTTGTGGTTGTGGTTGTGGTTGTGGTTGTGGTTGTGGTTGTGGTTGTGGTTATGGTTGTGGTTGTGGTTGTGGTTGTGGTGGTTGTTGTTGTTGTTGTTGTTGTTGTTGTTGTTGTTGTTGTTGTTGAGTTCTCATTTCTGAAAATAGTTATGGTTGATCACCCCCCACCGGTGCATACTTTTTTCTCACTCAAAGTGTGCCCCTCGACGCTCGCACCTTGTTTTTTTGACAGGGAAAGTCTTGATGCTCAAACTGGGCCCGTGGCCCCTGGGTTACAACAACAACGGCTCCCCCCGCTTGAGACTTCTTGACAATTTAGCCAGGACCCCCGCTCCCGCCCCAGACTTCCTCGCATTTTATTCAGGAATCGCGCTCTCGCTTGGGATCACCTTCCAATTCATGCAGGAATCGCTCTCCTGGCGCTCTGGAGTCGCGCTCTCGCTGGAGACTTCCTTGCAATTTACTGAAGAATAGCGCCCTTGCGTTGGATTTTTTTTTTGTTTTTTTCAAAATTGCTCAAGCGCCGAGCTCCCGACACCCAAGCACCCAGGAGTCGCGCCCGTTGTGGCCCCATGTGCATGCACTTATCGGCCCCGCTGTCGCCGTTCGTGGCCCCTTCACTGTTCTTCGTGGCCCAGTTGCCTTCTGTGGCCCCGCATTATCTGCCCTTCGTGGCCCCCGCTCGGTCGCGCTCTTCGTGGCCCCATACGCATTCCCTTTGTGTCCCCGCTGTCGCCCTTCGTGGCCTACTTCGTGTCCTTCGTGGCCCCGCTGTCGTTCTCTCTCGCTCTCGCGTCGTCGCCGTCGTTGTCGT